TGGCAGCCTCAAGGTCCTGCACTGGTGATTTGGCAAGCACTGCATTGAGCCAATTATGTGCCTTGTCTAACCTCTTAAAGAGGATTCTCTGATGTCCATCTTTATCCCTCAATTTCTTCTCCACCATGCCAATGAAGGGGAATGAGATGTTCCCATACTCCCTAAGGAGTGTTACTTGTTGTGAGGGTTTCACTATAGATAGGCCAAGTGATATCAACACCCATTCTCAGCCACTGCACTGCATCTGTCCAACACTTACTGTTGATCGATGTGTGATGCTTGATAGCAGAGAGTGATGATGATGATCTGCAAACCATCAAGTCAAGGGCATCAGTTTGCTTTCCCAATAAACAATGGCCATGGTATCAGCCTCTAGATCTGTCCGGCGCTCAGTGCGTGTCATCATGCCTCCATTTGGTACTTAACTCTGCTCTCCCAGATAGCCATCCTCAAGCGATTTGCCTCACGTACATCGCTTTCACTCACACAGTTTTTGGGGGTAATCTAGTCTTTTTGCATCCCATTTGATCTGTTTTACCTCGGCAAGACGGAATTTGCCTACTTGTTATCCCTGGTTGGTGGAGGGGGAGAGACAAATGTGAGCACGTGACTACGCTCGCGTCGCGCATATACATACATGAGTGAGACTTTGAGTCAACACAAGCAATCTAAGCTCATTACCACCAATTGCTCATGTGGCTTGCACTTTTTTTGGTGTTACCTGCTACTTGCTTGTGCGTGCGTGCGTACGTCTTCATAATTGACAACCACCACCACTTCAGAGCACGTCGCCGCAAGCTACACCAAGCGTTGGTAGGTGAGTGAGCAAAGTAGAGCAGCTTGGCGCATAGTAGTAGTAGTCGCGTCCGGGTGGCAAAAAGTCTCTTCCCTACTCAGTCCAAGAGACGAGTACGCAAGCAGTAGTAGTAGCCCCTTGGTACTAACATCTAATCCATCCACAGGATTAAGATGTCGCAACGAGGGGGGGAGGATCCTCCGGCTCAAGACGTCCGCGGTTACTCGGACGAGCCAATCTCCAACGATGGATTAGACCTCTTCTCCATGACAAGATATATGAACGAACCAGATACTACACGTTTATGGAGAGGCGATCGTACGATGGCTGAGC